TGTGAGTTGTTACATGTGAAAGAAAGAGGCCGTTGCAGAAGGTGCAACGGTGGGCATCACGAGTTTGCGTATCCAGGTGGTATCGGAAGTGCATGATGCACATGTAAAGCTCAATCACTCGCGTGCACTTGCGCTGCTGCGGCAGTGGTGCATTTGCTAGATCTTGATGGCAGGCCACACGGGTGTCTTGTACTCTTGGATTCGGGTTCTGAAGCATATTTTTTAATGATTTAAAGTCGGGAATTTTGTACGAATATTCAAGCAAGTCATGGATATACCAATATTTACTTTGAAATCGCGAGCATAAAATTGCGGTAGAATTGAAAATTTGATTATCACCAGCTGTAACGAATCGGTTACCCTCGCAACGAATTTCGCGAGAAGAGTTAGTTATGCCGGCAGGGATCCATTTGGCAGATCACAAATTTCATGAGACCGCKAATATCGACGCGAGTCTCGGTGTCGAGATTTTTACATTACTATGACGCTCAGATCAGAGCATTCGATTGAATGAAAGTTAATGGCACCAGGAACTGTGTTAGGATAACTCGTTATGAAAACAGGAGCCGCGCGTAGTTCGCGGAGCGTTAACTGCTACACAGATACAGTAGAATTTAACTAATTATTGGAGAAAATTTGGAAGATTGAAGAAGTAACTAAGACTAGTATTAGTTCGCACGAGGAAAATTTTTGCGAAGCACATTATAAAGCCACACGCGACGGGATAATACATGCAGATGTGTGGCAAGGCTGCCATTCAAGGAAGAGAATCAATTAGGCGATTCGTATGCGAGCGCGTTGCGAGGATTTCACGCGTTGCAAAGATTTCACGCGTGGCGAAGATTACACGCGTTTAAGCGGTTATTGTCGGGCGAGCCGGAAATTAGAAATGAATAAATTAAATTCTTATCCGAATATGAAGAACAAGGTCAAACGACAACGATAGAAGGGGAACCCCACGAAGATACATTCTATTTACCGCATCATGCTGTATTAAAGCATACTAGTCTTACGACTAAATTGCGAGTAGTGTTCGACGCGTCGGCAAAAAACCAGCAACGAGAAATCTTGGAATGAAGTATTAATGGTTGGTCTGACCATGCAGGAGGATCTGTTTACATTTTTAGTAAGATTTAGATCACACGCTATCGCTATTACCGCGGATATCGCGAAGATGTATCGGCAGATAACAATGGACCGCGCGATCGCAAATACCAAACTATACTCTACCGTCGACAGGAAAGTGAGCCCGTGTAAGCATATAGATTAAATACAGTAACTTATGGAACCGCCTTCGCGTCGTTCTTAGCAACGCGTAATTTACATCAACTCGCGAGCGACTAATTTCACCGATTCCCTAGAGCTGCCATCGTTCTTAAAGAGGATTTCTATGYAGACGACTTGTTAGCCGGAGCGCGTACGGTTAGGGAAGCAAAGCGAGTCCGCAACGAATTAATAAGGATAACCGCAGAGTCAGGCATGCATTTGAGGCAATGGGCGTTAAATTGCGCCGAGATTCTAAAAGACAGGCACGGTAGAAACATTAGGTGTTAATTGGAAACGCGGCCGAAGGTAAAGCGAGCCGTTGCTATGGCAATTAAAATAAACATTGGAGAAAAGGTCTCAGCCCGATATATATAAAATATGGCAAGAGTTTCGCCAAAATCTCCACACGCTCGAGGAGAATAAGATTCGCGTGTAGCATAACGTGTAACGGAAAAGTATTSGAAATGCCCGATTTTTACGGCGCGAGCTTTAAGAACTTTTTGGCGCATTAATACTCCTATGAATTGTTAAAGCGGCTAAAAAACGCTTTGCGTGGMCCTATGGAACGCTATGCTAAATATTCGGACATATATTTCGACAGCACGACTAATTTTGTTGATTCTGCGAACGAATTAGAGGCGCGCGTGATCGCCAAGCTTAGTTAATGAAAGATTYAAGTGGCATTTTATCTCTCCCTACTACCTCATTTTGGCGGTCTATTGGAGGTGGCAAGAAAATCTTTTAAGTACCATCTAGTTAGTCTAGTTAGAATTGTTTGCGAAGCAATGTTATCGTGTGASGTATTATTAATTTACGTCCTCGAGATAGAGGCTATTCTAAACTTGCGTCTTATCATCCATCGGTCTAATGATTTGAACGACTTGCGTGCTCTTACACCTGGTCATTTTTTAATTGGATATTATTTTCCGAGTCCGCCAGAGGACGAGTACAGGGATGTATCATCTGGGTGTCTATCGCAATAGCAGCACGTTCAGCGGGTGAGACAGCTGTTCTGGAAATGATGGAATAAGTAATATTTGAAAGAGCAAACGCCACTAGGACGTGTCGCAAGGATACATGCGAGAGCTGACGGAATAAAACACAAGGCAGCCGCGAAACCTGCCAACGGTCTTGTAAAGCGCGGTATTAAACGTCTTTCTTCTTTGTCGAACGATTTATAAAAAAAAAAAAACTTGTAATTTAGTAGAGGTAATTTTGATTATGTATTATAATATGCGGTTAGCAGTGTATGTATATAGTTTATAATTTGTATTTTATTGTGTATGTATCTTTTTAAATTTTGATCGGTGCCCGTTCAAGGGGGCGGGGTATGTTGCGTATTATACGCAACGAGTGAGTAGGGCGAAGCGCCGGGGCATGGACGGCCCTGCCGAGACGTGAGACACGCTCGACAAAGCAGTGTCTTTGTTTTTGGTGGTAGCCACGGTAGCGCTAAGATGCTTGTAAGGGCTCCTTCTTTCTTCTAGCTTGAGTTCTCCCACCACATTTAATATGCTAATCACATGTATCGACAGCCGCGTTATGCTCGGGCTTTTCGGTGATTGGTGCAGCATTRCATCGCTTTTTGGTATAAAACCCAGCGCGTTCTTGCGCCTTTTGGCACTCATCATTTGGGCACTCTTGGTTCATCACGCGTGATTCATCACTCGAGATTCATCTATCTTAGAAAGCTTAGACTTGCGAGAAACTACTTCGAGGAGAATTATTTGTATTGCGCAATACTATATCATCTATGTTCGGCCAGCGACAAGGGAAAAAGGCGGTCCTGTACTTGGCCAGAATTATCCTGATTTGTACGGATTCTTCGTCAACGTTTCAACCAGGGTTTTTATGCCGAAAGGCTTTACCCTGACGAGCAAAATAAAGCGTACTTTTTAGTACTGACTGGGCTCAAATACATTTGTTATTGTGTTTTATTTTCCTATCCTCCTTCCCATTAATAAACAATCTCGATATCACCCGTAAGGGCATTTTTCGGTTCAGTAAATTCCACTGGAGTACCGATTAAGGCATCGGTCGTACCAACAATTACTATATCTAAATACTTTTACCTGAAAACCAAACAAACGACAATTAAGGTTTATTATTTCCACTTACTCAAAACAGTTTATTTATTTACAATTAGGATAGATATTCTTTTCTCCTTTTCATATGTGCTTTATTTTATACTCACAGCTTTTTTCTGTTTATCAGTCGCAACTTATTTTTTCCTTCCGATGTTATCAATCAATTCCTCTAACGCGAGCTGCTTGAAGTGCGACAAAAAGTAACAGTTCCATGTGCTGTTGCAGTCACAGTTGCACTTGCCTGAGCAGCTGCAGTTGCTGTGGCAGTTGTTTTTTTTTGACACAGTTTTATATGCAGTAGCAGTTGCAGTTTTATGTTCAGTTGCATTTGGTTTTGCAATTGCACCTAAAGTTGCATTTCCATTAGCAGTGTTATGTGGAGTTTTGTTTGCAGTTTTATGTGCTGTTGAATTTGTAGTTGCAGTAGCAATGATAGTTACAGTTGCATTTTTTGTTAAAGTAGCATTTTCAGTGGCAGCTTCATGTGATATTGCAGTTCTATGTGCAGTTGCATTACCATGTGCAGTTGCTTGTCTTGTTTCAGTTGCATGTACAATTTTAGTTGCATCTGCAGTTAAATGTGCAGTTGCAGTTGTAGTTTTAGATTGCGTTGTATGTGCAGTCTTAGTTGCATTTGCAATTGCAGATGCATTTGTATCAGCAGTTTCAGTAGCAGTTAATCTTGTATGTGCAGTTGTTATGGCAACTGCAAATGCTGTTGCATTTGAAGTTACATTCGCATGTGTAGATCCAGTGAAAGCTACAGTTTCATGTGCAGTTCCGTTGCAGCTGCATTTGCTGGTCTAGTTGCAATTACATGTACATTTGCAGTTGCATCTGCAATTAAATGTGCTGTTGCAATTTTACTAACTGTTTTAATTTTATGTGCAATAGCACATGTGCAGTTTTAGATAAAATTGCAGTTGTATGTGGAGCTGCAGTTGCAGTTTCCGCTGCACTTATTTGTGGTGTAGCAGATGCAGTTGCAGATGCTGGTCTAGCTTTAGTTGAATGGTGATTTGCAGTGTCCACTGCAGTTATATGTGCAGATGCGGTTTGATGTACTGTTTTATTTATTTTTTAAAGTTTAATTAGTATATGCAGTTTTATATTGAATTGCCGTAGCAGATGAATTTGCAGTTGTATGTGCAGTTACAGTTTTATGTGAATCTCTAGTTGCATATGCAGTTTCATTTGCTGTTGCAGTTGCATGTTTAGATACAAAAGCATGTAAATTTGTAGCTGCAGTAGCTGTGGCAGTTCTATGTGTAGATGTAGTTCAATCATATTTGCAGTGGCATGTTTAGCTGCAGTTGCAGTTKCATTGGCAGTAGCAGTTCCATGTGTAATAGTAGTTGAATGTTTAGTTGCTGTAGCTTGTGCAGTTGTTGTTGAATTTTACGTTACATAAGATTCTGCAGTTACAATTGCAGTTAAATTTGCCGGAGCTTTTATTGGTAAAAGTTCATTTGCAATTGCAGTTTGAGTTGGCGTTGTATGTGCTGTGGCAGCTGCATATGCAGTTAAAGTTGCATGGTTTGTAGCTGTTGCAGTTAAAGATGCTTTGCCAGACGAAGTTTAATGTGCAGCTGCGTGTGCAGTTGCAGATGCAAGCAAAATTGCAGTTTTATGTGAAGTAGCATTTATAGTTGCATTTGCAGTTGCTGTTGCATATGTAATTGCAGAAGAAGTAGCTGTTGCAAGTGCAGTGGCAGTTGCAGTTAAAGATGCACTTGTATGTGCAGTTGCTATAGTTGTATTTGCTGTTGCATTTGCAGTTTTATGTGCTGTTGGATGTGAAGTTGCAGTAGCATGTGCAGATACAGTTGAATGAGTAATTTTATTTACAGTTGCAGTTTAGTTTGCAGTTTGTGTTTCTTGTGCAGTTTTATTTGCAGTTACCGTTACATTTAGCTGTGCAGTTGCAGTGGCAAGTAAATATGCTGTTACTGTTATAGTGGCAGTGTCAAGTGGAATTTTAGTTGCAAATTTCGTTGTAGGTGCAGTAACAGCTGCATGTGCAGGTAAAGTTGCATGTTAAGTTGCAGCTGCAGTTAACGTAGCTTTTCGAGGCGCCGTTTCATGTTCAGTAGCAGTTTCAAATTTAAGTGTAGTAACTAATGCAGTGGCTACTGCATGTTGTTTTGCAGTTGCAGTTTACTTTGCATTTTTAGTTGCAATAGAATGTTTAGTTACACTAGCATGTTACCTTTTAGCAGCAGTTGCTGTTGCAGGTATATGTGCAGTTGCAATAGTAGTTTTATTTCTACTGTCATGTTTAGCTGCATTTACAGTTGCATTACAGTTGCAGTTGCTTGTCTAGTTTCTGTTGCATTTGCATTTGCTGTTGCATCGGCAGTAACATATGTATTTGCAGTTTCAGATGCAGTTGCAGTTGCAGTTGCAAGAGCTGCTGCAGATGCAGTTGCAGTTGTAAGGGCAGTGGCCGTAGCAGTTGCAGTGAAGTGGCATTGGCGATTTTGTGTGCAGTTGCATGACCAATAGCAGTAGCATGTGCAGGTTAATTTAAATTTGCTGTTTCAGTTTTATTTGCAGTTGCAGTTCAGTAGCATGTGCAGTTGCCGTTGCTAGTGCAAATGCAGTTTCATTTAAAGTTACAGTTTTATGTGTAGTGCAGTAGAAGTTTTAGTTGCTTATTTAGTTGCAGTGGCGTTTACTGTTGCTGTTTCCTATACAGTTGCAGTTCCATTTAACGCTACATTTGCCTGTGCAGTTGCAGTTGCAAGTGTTGTTAAGTTAGCTGATGCATTTGTAGTATCATTAATGGTTGCAGTTGCGTGTGCAGTTTCAGTTCTATTTACTTTTACAAATTTCCTGCGGAGTTGCAGCTGTTAAATTAATGAGAAAAAATATCTTACATTATGGGTGGTAAAAGTTTAATAAATCTATATATTATATCTATTACAAGTTCTTCCGTGCTACGTGCTATTACTTTTACTTTAACTATGTAATTCTTCTAACAGAGAGCCTTATACAGCTAATCGCTGTCCCTTATATACTAATCTTACATGGACTAGAGTGGGGAGACTTACATGTGTACGTCTCTCTCACGAACAGTAGTACACCAACAAATGCTCTTGAGGTACAGCACATACATTTAACCTGGCAATAGTTGCAGTTTCACATGCAATTGCAGTTGCAGTTGCTGTTATATGTGCAGATGCATCTGCAGTGGCATCTAAAGTTGCATGTGGAGTTGCAGTGTCAGTAAAAGTTGCTTTTGTAGAGGCAGTTTTGTAAACAGGTTCAGTTGCAGTCTTATTTGCTGTTGCAGTGGCATGCGCAGTTGCAGTAGCAGTAGCATGCGCAGTTGTATATTCAGATTCTGTTGTATGTGCAGTTTTAGTTGCAGTTGAAGTTGCTAGTCTAGCTGCAGTTTTATATGCAGTTCTAGTTGCAGATGCAGTTGTATGTGCAGTTTAAGTAGCAGTTGATCTTGTGTGTGCAATTGACATTGCAAGGGCAAATGCTGTTGCATTTAAAGTTACAATCGCATGTGTATTTCCCGTGTAAGCTGCAGTTTCATATGCAGTTGCCGTTGCAGTTGCAGTTGGCGGTCTAGTTGCAGTAACATGTACATTTACAGTTGCATCTGTAGTTAAATTTACTGCTGGAATTTTACGTACTGTTTTAATTTTATGTGCAGTAGCAATTTACTATACTGTTACATGTGCAGCTGCATTTACATGTTTAGATACACTTGCATGTACAGTTGTAAGTGCTGTTCCTGTAGCTTTTATATGTTCAGTTGCAGTGGCAGTTGACTGTGTTTTGCAGTGCCAGATATATTCTCAGTTTTAGTTGTTGTTCTATTTTTTTTTGCAAAGGCAGTTTTATGTTTCTATGCAGTACTATGTGCAATGTCATTTGCATGTGCATTTGCAAGTTGCTGTGCAGTTGTTTTTGTAGTTGAATAAGCAGTTGCCGTTGAAATTGCAATTGCATCTGCAGGTAAATGTGCAGTTGCATTTTTACGTACTGTTCACATTTTATGTGTAGTAACAATTTTGTATGCATTTACATGTGCTGTCGCAGTTGCATGTTTACCTACACTTGCATGTACAGTTTTAGCTGCAGTTCTGTGTTTTTTATATGTGCAGTAAAAATTACAGTTTTATGTGTAGTTGCATGTGCAGTTTCTGTTGAATTTGTAGTTCCTTTTGCATGTATAGTGGCACTTGCAGTACAGTAGCATGTGCAGTTATATGTGCAGTGGCAGTTTTAGTGAATTTGCAGTTGCAGTTTAGTTGTATTTTCACTTGCAGTCTTATGTACAGTTGCGAATGCCGTTCTATGTGCGGTTTGCAGTTGCAAAAAAAGTTGCATGTTAAGCTGCAGTTGCTTGCGCAGTTGAAGTGGCAGAAGCATGTGCAGTTGCCGTTAGTAGAGCAGTTGAAGTTGCATTTGCAGTTCCAGTTGTATGTATAGTGGCAATTGCAGTTGCAGTTGCATGTGCAGTTATATGTGCATTTGCAGTTTTAGTTAAATTTGCAGTTGCAATTGCTTGTGCAGGTAATGTTGCCTGTAAGTTTGTATATTCTTTTACATTTAAATTTGTTTTTGCAGTTGCAGTTACAGGTAAATATGCTGTTGCCGTTATAGTTGCAGGTTTATGTGTAATTGCAGGTAAATTTTCCGTTGTATTTACAGTTGCAGCTTCATGAGCAGGTAAAGTAGCATATGAAGTTACAGTGGAAGATAAAGCTGCTTCTTCAGACGCAGATTCATGTGTTGTTGCAGTTGCAGTTATATGTGCAGTTGACGGTTTATGTATTTATCTCATTTTGTGTGCAGTTGCAATTTAATATGCAGTTACATTTAGAGTAGCATTTGCATATTTAGTTACACTTGCATGAACGGTTGTAGCTGCAGTTGCTGTAGCTTTAATATTTCCAGTTGCAATAACAGTTTACTTTGTAGTTGCTTGAGCAGTTTCAGTAGCATGTGTAGTATATTTGGCAGTTTCTGTTGCAGTTGCATTTGCAATTGCAGTTTCGTGTGCATTTGTAATATCATGTGCAGTTCACTTGCATGTACAGTTGGAGTTGCAGCTGCCTTTGCATGTCTCGTGGCAGTGGCAGTTTTAGTTTTATTTGCAGTTTTATTTGCTGTGGCAGTTGCTATTCTAGCTGCAGTTGCATCTTTAGTTTAATGTTCAGGGGCAGTAACATGTGCAGTTAAATGTGCAGTTGCAGTGGCAGTTGTATGTGCAACAGAAGTAGCATATGCTATTTTTTATGCAGTATCTGCTTAATTTAAAATTAAATTTAACTGTAAAGTTGCAGTGACAGATAAAGTTTTATTTTCAGACGCAGTTTTAAATGCAGTGGCAGTTGCCGCTACAGTTGCATTTACAGTTTAAGGTTCTGATCTAGTTTCAGAAGCATGTGCCCTTGCAGTTGCATTTGCAGGTAAATAATCAACAGCAGTTGCAATTGCAACTGTATGCGCAGTTTAAAGTTGCAATTTTATTTACAGTAACAGTTGCAGTGGCAAATGCAGTTGTATTTGCAGTTGCAAATTTATAAGACATTGAATGTGCAATTTTATTTGCATGCGCAGCTGCAGATTTATGTGCAATTGCGGTGGCAGATGCATTTGCATTTTTATAAGCAGTTACAATTTTGTTTTGAATCTCTAGTTTTATACGTAGTTTCATTTAAAGTTGCAGTTGCATGTTTAGATACAATAGCATGTAAATTTGTAGCTGCAGTTGCTGTAGCAGTTATATTCACAGTTACAGTTGCGTGTGCAGTTGCACTTGCTGTGGCAGTAGCAGATAAAATGTATATTAAATGATTATTATGAAGTTATTAATTAATATGTGCATTTTCATTTTTAGTTGCAAATGCATGTAAAATGGCAGTTGCTGTTTTATTTGCAAGTACAGTTGCTTGTGCAGTTGCATGTGAAAGTTAAGTGCGTGTGCAATTGCAGTTGTAGTTCTTGCAGTAGCAGTTTCTTTGGAATGTTTAGTTGCAATAGCATGTGCAGTAGCATGTGCAATTATAGTTGCATTTGCATGTGCTGTCGCATTTCTATTTGCAGTTGCATGTGCAATTGGATTTGCATCTGCAGTAATAGTTGCATGGGCAGACTGTGATACATATAAGGTTGCAGTTTCAGTCGCTGATGTATTTGCTATGGCAGATGAAGTTGATGTTGTATGTGCAGTGGCATTTGCATATGTATTTTGTGCTGCATCTGCAGTTGTATTATCATTTGCTGTTTTATTTGCTGTTGCATTTGCAGATTATATTGTAAGTGTAGTTAAATTTGCACTTGCATTTAGTGTTTTATAAGCAGTTGCAGTTGCATTTGCTGTTACAGTTGCCTTTGAAGTTGCAGATGCAGTAAAATATGCTTTTTTAGTTATAATTGCAACAAAATTTGCAATAGCAGTTTCAGTTTTATTTGCAGTGGCATTTTTTGATCCAAATGCAGTTGCAGTAGCATATGCAGCTACATTTGTATGTGCAGTTACAGTTTTATGTGCAGTGGCAGTGGCAGTTGCATATGCAGTTGCAGTTTTATGTGCAGATGGTTTGCAATTTTTTGTACAATTTTTAACAAAATTTACAGTAGCGGTTGCATTTGCATTTGCACTTGCTGTTGCAGTAGCAGATAAAATAATAACTAAATATTAATAAATAAAAAAAGCATTTTAATTTGCAGCAAAATTTGTAGTTGCAGTTTCATTTGCAGTTACAGTTGTTTGTGCAGTTGTAGTTAAAGTTTAATGTGCCGTTGAAGTTATAGTTGATGTTGCATGTTTAGTTACATGTGCAGTTGCAGTGAAGTTGTAGTTGAATGTTCAGTTTCAGTTGCATTTGAATGTGTCCTTGCATTTATAGTGGCAGCTGCATGTGCATTTTGAGTTGCATCTGCAGTAACAGATGCGTTTGCAGCTAGTGTTGCATATGAAGTTGCAGTGGCATTGGCTTTTGTATGTGCTGTTGCAGTTGCAATTGCCGTTTTTTGCGCAGTGGCATTTGCATTTAGTGTTGCATGTTCAGTGGCAGGTGCGATTGGTTTTACAGTTGCCTGTATAAATGCAATTGCAGTTTTATAAGCTGTTATATGAACAGTTTTAGTTGCTCTTGCAGTAATGGCTTTATAAACAGTTGCAGTTGCATTTGCTGTTGCAGTTGCCTTTAAAGTTGCAGACGCATTAAAATGTGATGTTTTAGTTCTAGTGGCAGTTGCATATGCAGTTGCAGTTGTATGTGCAGTTACAGTTTTATGTGCAGTTTCAGTAGCAGTTTCATATGCTGTGGCAGTTTTACGTGCTTCTGCGGTTGCATTTAAAGTTTGTGTTGTATGTGCAGTTGCATTTGCAGTTTTATGTTCTGTTGCATGTGTATTTGAAGTTTCAGTTTCCAGTGCAGTTGCAATGCATGTGCAGCTGCAGTTGCTATTTTAGTTTTATGTGCTGTTGCATTTGCTGTTTTATGTGCAATTGCATGTGCAAGTTTAGCTCATGTGTTATTGCAGTTGTAGTTTCAGATTCGTGAGCAGTTGCAGTTGCAGTTTCTGTTGAATGTTTAATTGCAATAGCATGTGCAGTTGCAGCTGCCGGTGTTGTTGCAGCAATAGTGGCAGCTGCCGTGGCAGTTGGAGTTGTATGTGCAGTATGCAGTTGCAATAACATGTACAGTAAAAGTTTTTGTGGCAAATTAGGTTATCTGTGCAGTTGCAGATACAGTTGAAGTTCTATGTGCAGATGGTTTGCAATTTTAGTTGTTGTATTTGCATTTACAGTAGCATATTTAGTTGCAGTTTTAGTTGCATTTGTAGTTGCATTTGCAATTGCACTTAAGTATGCTTTTACTGTTGCCTGTACAGTTGCAGTTGCATTGCACATGTTCCCTTGCAGTCTAAGTTGCAGTAGAATGTCTTGTTGCATTTATAGTTGCAGTATCATGTGCAGTTGCATTATCATCTGCAGTAACAGTTGCATGTGCAGGTGGAATTGCATTAGCTATTGCATTAGCAGGAGACACTCTATTTACAGTTGCATATGCAGTAACAGTTACAATGGCATGTTTAAATGTATTTGTAAATACATTTGTAGTGGCATTTGCAGTTGCAGTTAAATGTTTAGTTGCTTTTTCCTGTGTCGTTGTGGTTGCAGTTACCGTAAAATTTGCATATTATGTTGCAGTAGCAGGTTTATGTGCTGTTAACGTTATAGTTGCAGTATCATGTTTAATTGCAGCTAAAGTTTGCGTTTTATGTGTAGTGTAGGGTTCATGTTAAATTGCAGCTGCAGGTAAAGTTGCTTTTCCAATCGCAGTTTTATTGGCAGTTACAATTTTAAATTTATGTGCAGTGGCATGTGCAGTTGCAGTTTTATGTAGCATGTGCAGTTGTAATAGCATAAGCAGTTGCATGTGCAGTTACAGTTTTAGTAGCAGTTGCATTTGCATGCGCAGTTGCAGTTACAGTTGCTTGTACAGTTTCAATGCATGAGCAGCTGCAGTCTCCATTACTGATATATGTGCTGTTGGCTTTGCAGATTTATGTGCAGTTGCAGATTTAGTTATATTCATAGTTGTTGATGCATATGCAATTAAACTTGATGTTTCAGTAGCAGAAGAAATAACTATTAAATAATTATATATAAACATGCATAAATATGTGCAGTTGCATTTGTAGTTGCTAATGCATGTGAAATGGCAGTTGCAGTAGACTTTGCAAGTGCAGTTGCACTTTCACCTCTAGTCGCAGTAGAATATGCAGCTGTAGTGGCATTTGCATTTAGTATTGCATGGAGAGTGTCAGTTACATTTGCTGTTATATTTGCCTGTAAAGTTACAGATGCTGTTAAATGTGCTCTTTTAGTTATAGTTGCCTTAGCATGTATAGTAGCAGTTTCAGTTTAATTTGCAGTAGCATGTTGTGATGCAGATAAAGTTGCAGTAGCATATGCATGTAAAGTGAGATTTGCAGTTACAGTTTTATGTGCAGTTGCAGTTGCAGTTGCATATGCAGTTGCAGTTATATGTGCTGCTGCAGTTGGCATTTGAAGTTAGTGTTGCATGTGCCGTTGCAGTTGCATTTGCTATTACAGTTGCCTTTAAAGTTACAGATGCAGTTAAATGTGGCGTTTTAGTTATAGTCGCAGTTGCATGTGCAATAGCAGTTGCAGTTTTATTTGCAGTAACATGTACTGATGAAGATAAAGTTGCAGTTGTATGTGCATTTACAGTTTTATTTGCAGTCGCTGTAGCAGTTGCATATGCAGTTGATATTGTATGTGCTGCTGCAGTAGGCATTTAAAGTTAGTGTTTCCTGTGCAGTTGCAGTTGCAGTGGCATGTGCTGTTGCAGTTACTGTTGCAATTACATTTGCAGTCAAAGTTGCAGTTTTCGTTTAACTTGCAGTTGCAGTAACATTTGCGTTCTAATATCATGTGTAATTGCAGATTAACGTGCATATACGTATGCACGTAAATTTGTAGTAGTAGTTAGAGTTGCCGATAAATGTACTGTTGCAATTGCAGTTGCGTGTGCTGTTGCAGGTATATTTGCAGATAAATGTGCAGTTGCAGTAGCAGTAACAGTTGCATGTACAGTTACACTTCCATGTACAGCTTTATCTGCAGTTGCTGTAGCAGTTAAATGGTCAGTTATACTTGCATGTATAAATGTAGCAACAGTTGCTTTGAAAGTTGCATGTGCAGTTGCACATATAGTTGCAGTTGCAGATGCAGTTGTAAGTAGAGGCTTAGTAGCAGTTGCACTTGTATGTGCAGTTGCTGTTGCTAGAACACATACAGTTGCCTTTGCCGTTACAATAGCATATATAGTTGCTGTTGCACTTGCAGTTGCATGTGCAGTTGCAGTTTTAGTCGCAGCTGCTTGTCTAGTTGCTGTTGCATGTGCATTTACTGTTGCATCGGCCGTTACATGTGTATTTGCAGTTTTAGATGCAGTTGCATGTGCTGCTGCAGATGCAGTTGCAGTTGTAAGGGCAGTGGCTGTAGCAGTTGTAGTGAAGTGGCATTTGCAATTTTGTGTGCAGTTGCATGGCCAGTAGCAGTAGCATGTTTAGTTAAATTTACAGTTGCAGTTTCAGTTGTTTTTGCAGTTGCAGTCAAGTTGCATGTTCAGTTGCTGTTGCAAGGGCAGATGCAGTTGCCATTACAGGTAAAGTTGCAAGTAATGTTGCAGATGTAGTTGCAGTTCTTTGTACTGTTGCATTTGCAGTTGCAGTTGCTTGATTAGTTTAATGTGCAGTTGTAGTTTCAGATGCAGTTGCATTTGCCGTTGCATGTGCTGCTGCATTTTTAGATTATGTACAATTGTAGTTTCAAATGCAGTGGCAGTTGCTGTTGCATGTACTGCTACAATTCCAATATTTTTTGTATGTGCAGTTGATATTGCAGTTGTATGTGCAATGGCATTTGCAGTTTTATTAGCAGTGGCATGTGCAGTTAAAATTGCACGTTTAGTTACATTTGTATGTTTAGGGTATATCTGCAAATAAATTTGTAGTTGAATTTGAAGTGGCAGTTGCATGTTTAGATACAAAAGAATGTAAACTTGTAGCTGCAGTAGCTGTTGCAGTTATATGTTTAGGTGTAGTTCAATCATATTTGCAGTAGCATGTTTGGCTGCAGTTGCAGTTGCATTAGCAGTAGCATTTTCATGTGCGATAGTAGTTGAATGTTCAGTTGCAGTAGCTTGTGCAGTTGTTATTGCCTTTTACGTTACATTAGATCCTGCAGTTACATTTGTAGTTAAATTTGCCGAAGCCGCTATAGTTAAAATGTCATTTGCAATTGCAGTTGCAGTTGGCGTTGTATGTGCTTTTGCAGCTGCATATGCAGTTAAAGTTGCATGGTTTGTAGTTGTTGCAGTTAAAAAAGCTTTGCTAGACGAAGTTTAATGTGCATTTGCAGATGCATTTTGATGTGCAGTTGCATGTGCAGTTGCAGATTCATGTAAAATTGCAGTTTTATGTGGAGTAGCATTTGTAGTTGCATTTGCAGTTTCTTTTGCATTTGTAGTTGCAGAAGAAGTAAATGTTGCAAGTGCAGTGGCAGTTGCAGTGTGAGATGCATTTGTAAGTGCAATTTCTATAGCAGTTTTATTTGATGTTGCATTTGCAGTTTTATGGGCTGTTGTATGTGAAGTTGCAGTAGCTTGTGCAGTTACAGTTGAATGTGTAATTTCATTTACAGTCATTTATTGTTGCATTTGCCGTTGCAGTTGAGTTTGCAGTTTATGTTTCTTTTGCAGTTTTAGTGGGAAGTACCGTAACATATAGCAGTGCAGTTGCAGTTGCAAGTAAATATGCTGTTGCTGTTTTAGTTGCAGTTTCATGTGGAATTTCAGTTGCAAATTTCGTTGTATGTACAGTTACAGCTGCATGTGCAGGTAAAGTTTCATATTAAGTTGCAGCTGCAGTTAACGCAGCTTTTCGAGGCACAGTTTCATGTGCAGTAGCAGTTTCAAATTTATGTATAGTAGCTTATGCAGTTGCAATCGCATGTTGTTTTGCAGTTGCAGTTAACTTTGCATTTTGAGTTTTAGTGAAATGTTTAGTTACACTAGCATGTTCAATTGTAGCAGCAGTTGCTGTTGCAGGTATATGTGCAGTATCAATAGCAATTTTATTTCTACTTTCATGTTTAGCTGCATTTACAGTTGCATTTGCAGTAGCAGTTTTATGTGTAATAGTAGTTACTTTTGCAGTTTTAGTTTCTTTGCTGCTGCAGAAACAATTGCAGTTGTATGTGCAGTTGCATTTTGCAGTTCATTTAAATTGGTAGTGGAAGTTGCGTGGACTGTAGCTGTTGCATTTGCAGTTTCAGTTCTATTTACAATAATATTTGCATGTGCAGTTAAAGTTGCAGTTAATTGTGCTGTTGTCATTATAGTTGCTGTGTCATGGGCAATTGCAGTTTTAGTTGCAGTCTTATTTGCAGTCGCAGCTGCAATTGCAGTTAAAGTAAAACGTGGAGTTGCAGTTAGAGATAAAGTAGCTTTTACAGACGCTTTTTTATATGCAGTTTTAGTTGCAGTTAAATGTTTACTTGTATGTGTAGTTGCAGTAGCATGTTGTTTAGCAGTTGCATCTGCAGGTAAATAAACAATTACAGTTGCAATTGCAATTGTATGTGCAGTTTGAAGTTGCAATTTTACTTACAGTAAAAGTTGCAGTGGCAAATGCTGTTGTATTTCCAGTGGCAGTTTTATAAGAAGTTGCATGTGCTAGTTTAGTTGCATGCGCAGTGACAGTTTTATGTGCATTTGGAGTAGCAGGTGCATGTACATTGGCAGTTTTCTGTGAAGTAGCATTTGTAGTGGCATTTGCAGTTACCGTTGCAAATGTAGATGCAGAAGAAGTAGCAGTAGCAATTGCAGTGGCAGTTGCAGTTGCAGTTGCACTTTTATTTGCAGTTGAAGTTGCAGTTGTATGTGCAGTTTGCAGTTGCATAAAAAGTATCATGTGCAGTGGCAGTAGCAGGCCTAGTTGCAGTTACTATAGCATGTGTAGTTGCTGTTTCAGTCGCAGTTGTTGTTCTAGTTGCAGTAACATGTGCATTTGCAGTTACACATGTAATCTTAGTTGCGGTTGAATGTGATGCTGTAGTTGCAATTGCAGTTTTATGTACAGTAGCTATAGCAGTTGTTTGTGCAGTGTTCGTTGCTGTAGCCCTCGCATTTGCAGATTTATTTAAAGTTTCATGTGCAGTTGCATGTGTAGTTGCAGTAGCAGATCCTGTTGAATCTGCAGTTTCAGTGGCAGTTGCTAGTTTACCTAAAGTTGCCTGTATATTTGCTGTTGCATTTACAGTTGTAATTGCAGTTGAGGTGGCAGATGCAGTTCTATTTGCAGTTTCAGTTGCAGTTGCAGTAGAATGCGCAGTTGCAGTGGCAGTAGCATGTTTAGTTGCCGTTGCTAGTGCAGCTGCAGTTGCTTTTGCTGTTACAGTTGCATTTAAAGTTGCAATTGCCGTAATAATAGCAGTAAATATACGATTGTAGTTGCATTTACACGGATGTTTCTCTCGCAGTTGCAATTGCTGAAGCTATTTATTATTTAATGGAATTTGCATATGCAGTATCATCTGCTGTTAAATGTGCCTTTGCAGTTGCATGTGCTACTGCAGTAGCATCTGCTGTGGCAGTTATAGTAGCAGTTGCATGTGCAGTTGCAGTTGCAGTAGCAGTTGCCGTTACATTTGCAGTTGCAGGTGCAGTTGCAGTTGCAGGTGCAGTTGCAGTTGCAGTTGCAGTTGCACTTGTATGTGAAGTTTGAGTGGCAGTTGTATGTGCAGTTTACAGTTGCATAAGAAGTTGCATGACAAGTTTTAGTTGCAGGCGCAGTGGCAATTACAGTAGCACGTGCATTTGTTTTTTCCAGAGCAGTTGTTGGAACATTGGAAGTTTGCTGTGCAGTAGCAATTGTAGTTGCATTTGCAACGACAGTTGCATTTGCAGAAGTAGTAGAGTTTGCATTTGCGGATGCATGTCAAGTTGCATGCGCAGTTGCAGTAGAAGTTGCATGTCTTTCCCGTGGGCAGGCGGTAGTAGAATTTTCCCACAGTATTCCCTGCTTGTCGTAAGAGGCAACTAAAAGGGAAGATATGCATGGAGTGTGAATGATCTCGTATGGCTAACCCTACCTTTAGCGCTTTTTGTCCCATCTTTCTCTACTCTTTTCTTTCCTTTTTGCTCCCACCGGGTCCCTGTACCCCATATTTTACAGATATAGAAAATATGGGGGGTACAACTTCAGCGATAAACCGGTGTGGGCCGGGATACCAACACCGCGGCGGTGTTAAGTGGTGGTAGGACAGGCCACCCTCCGTCGACAACATGCAACTGTCAGGAGTCTGGGGTAGCTGACCTGGCCCAAACTCTGGATAGAGCTACAGGCAACGCATCTTGGGTAGGAGACCTGGTCCAGTATGCGATTTTCAAGGCTACAGGAATGGTTGTAGACGGCCTAGGGGTTGTGGGAAGACCAGGTACGAGTGCTGGCGGTACGAAGAAGAAGGCGCCGAAGGGAGACTCTACCGCTTGTGGAAAGAGGGCCAAGCGGACTAGGTCACGGGTCTACACGTCCTCGCCGGACGACGAGGTTATTGCGTTCAGTGTGGGGGGGTGGGGTGCCCATCCTAGAGGAAATACCTAATGAAGGACTAGAGACGGGGCACCTCATCGAAATGGTACAGGATTGCATGTTCGAGGCGGAGGAGGAGCAAAGGAAATTTGGTAGCACCAAAGGTAGCGTCTTGGGCCACATGAAAAGGTGTTACGTGAACGTGCTCAAGATTTTTAAGGTGCTGAGGGACCGCCTGAGAGCTGGGTGGAGTGACAGTGTTCCCGATGTGGTTGCTCAATTAAGGGCTGAGAACAATCTCATAATTAAAAGGAACAAGTGCTTAGCGGAGGAGGTAGCGCGTCTCAAGAGGGAGGTAAAGCGCAAGGAAGTAGACCCAAGGGGCTACGCACCGACGAAGAGTGCCAGGGTGTCCGCAAGTGCTTGCGCAACGAACAAGAGGGTTAATGTGTGGAATGGACAGCGGTCCATAGGAGAAGAAGGTAAGTGGCGGCCAGGGGTGAAGAAGACATGGACATGAAGGCCATTATCAATATGCTGAGATCGCTCGCGAGATCTCAGCAAAAGATGCTAAAGGACCTGGACAAGATGTAAGGCAAAAGGTCCTCATACGTTGAGGTTGCTGTGTAGTCGAGGGAGGGAGGTAATCTGACCCCCTAACCCCCATACCCGGCTGCTGCTGCTGCAGCCGGGGTGACGGGAAAAAATAGCTTCACCACAGTCGTGAGGCGAAAGGGGCGCACCGCGGTGATCCCTGCTGGGAGCGTAATGACGCCAGCAGGGACTAAAACGATAAGTGCGGCTAGGCCGCAGGGTCTTCTGTAGGCTGAGGTTGTGACTGTGAGAAAACAGGGACCCGTGCCTGGAGGAAAGGCAGGAAGAAGAAGAATACCTCAAGACGGAGCAGGGAGGCTGCAGCGGTCTCCTTGTCGTGCGATAAAGAGTAGTCGTACAGGGAGGCCCTGCAGAGGATCCAGGAGAAAGTAGACTTTAAGGGACTTGATCTAAAATATCTGCAATGCAGACGCGGCCTCACCGGATCCTTCATCTGGCAGGTGAGGGGCAAGGACGCGGACGCAAAGGCAGACAAGATGGCGCAGGCGCTTAGGAGTGCGCTGCCTAAGGCCAAAATCTCAAGGCCTCAGAGGGTCAGCCCCATTAGGCTGATAGGACTACTCCCCAACGCGTGTCTGGCGGACATCGTCCGCGGACTACTGGGGATCAGGCCGGGAATGGACCCGGGCCTTATCAATGTTGGGAAATGCATGGTAGCAGAGGTGGATTAAGAGAGGTCACAATAGTGGCCCCGACGGCCCTCAGCTGGGTAGCTGTGGAGAGGGAGAAGATTACGGTGGGCTTCTAGTCGGCTAGGGTTCTGGCCCTGAGGCTGAAGCACCTCAGGTGCAACAGATGCCTGGCGAGGGGTACTTGTGGCCACCTCGTGCATGGCTGCGAAGGCAAGGACTGGGGTTTGCTTCGTTTGCGGCGAGCCAGGGCATATCGTGAGAATGTGCGAGGGTAGGGTCAAGTGTCCGTTGGGCGTAGAGGCTGGGCGAGCACAGACGTTACACAGAGCGGGGTCGTGGGAGTGCCCGATCGTGCCTCCGGTTTATTTAGGGGAATGGGGGGCCACCGGGGGCCACCGCACTGACGCAGTGGGTACAGGAGCCCTTGCGGGTATAAACACGGTAGGAAGGTTAGACAGCATGACTGTGAGTAGAACAAATAGTGTGTAGTGGGGAGTGGGGCTCGCGACTGCGGTCAAGAGCTAGTGCTTTGTGAATCGGACGGAGTGGAGGTTGAGTAGCCGGTATTCCGACCGTTGATAGTCGACGAAGGGGTCAGGAGTTTCTAAGACAAAATAGCTGGTATATGCATAAAAATAAACCTGAACCATGCACGTTGTGCCCAGGACTTGCAGGCACAACGGATGATGGAGACGGGGGCCGGCCTTGCGATCGTGGCGGAGCAATGGTGGGTCCCACCCGGGGATGAGAAATGGTTCTAATCGCTGGGCGGGACTTCCCTCTCTGCGGTGCTCATGGGCAAGGATGAAGGACCCTGTAGGCTAGTGCGTCAGAGGGATCATTTTGTGGCCGTTAAATGGGGGGGCTCACTGGTAGTTTCAATTTACTTTCCTCCCAGTGAGCATAATAATAGATTTTGTAGACTCCTTGACGAGCTCGAAGAGCTCTTAGGAACTTTTCCTACTCTTCCTGCGCTCGTTGTTGGGGACTTTATTGCCCGGTCCTATTCATTGGATCCGGAAGGCCGAAGTAACCTGAGGGGTGAGCTGCTCTGCATGTGAACCAATAGGTCAAATCTTAAGCTGGGCAACCAGGTTGGCTGCCCCACATGCGTTCGGCCGCAAGAGTCGAGCGCTATAGATCTTACGTGGAGGTCACCAGCAGCGAGTGTCCGCTTAACGGACTGAAGGGTAGACGAGGCTGAGTCCCTTTCGAACCATCTATATGTAACTTTTAAGTATGGACGGAAGACTGCAGGAGTCCGCGATCCTTGCTCTAGGCGCAGGAAGAGGAGGTGGTACGCTAGGGTTGTTGACAGGGATTGGTGGGCGGTCGCCCTAGTTTCTGGCGAGTGGTCGCGGCCTACCGGAGATGTTCGGGAAGGGACGCTGAGTGATTGGTGCGCGTTGGTGAACGGGACACTAAGGTGTGCATGTTACGTAGCCATGCCTAAGTGCGTAAGGGCTAGTGTTGGGGGGAGGAGTAAGTGCTGGTAATCGACGGACCTTGGTCGGCTGCGGGCAGAGGCTGCCGCGACGAGAAGGCGCTACCATCGTGCCAGGCGAAGTGGAGAAGTAGAACGGATCGCCCTGCGTGTGGACAGGAGAAGAGAGACTAAGAGGGCACTCGTCAAGGCGATCCGTAAGGCAAAATGCAAGATGTAGCGGGACTTTATCGCCGCTATTAAGGAGGACATGTGGGGTAGACCCTACAAAGTAGTCATGAACAAGTTGAGGACACGGATGTCTCCTGTCACGGAGTTGTTGGAACCGAAAGTAGTAGCCGGGGTTGTCTGGGACCTGTTTCCGGATATGCCGCGTGAAGTGGTCCCTTGGGACGCTGAGGATCAGGACAACTGCGAAGTGATAGTAGAGGAAGTGAGAAGGGCGGCGGCAGGATTCCCAGTGGCAGGGCTCTGGGTCCGGATGGGATTCCGGGCTTGGTGGTTCGGGAAACTGCGCGCTTCTGCGGTGAGGGACTGGCGGCCTGTTACACGGCTTGCATGCAGGCGGGCCGCTTTCCCGAGAAGTGAAAGAGGGCTAAGCTGGTCCTGATCGGGAAAAGAAACGACTTGCGGGCGGACTTACCTGGATCTTACCGGCCGATCTGCCTACTCGACGAGGTCGGTAAGCTTTTTGAGAGGGTGATTGCAGACAGGATCAATAGATCCTTGGATGGGGTTGGCGGCTTATCCCTGGCACAGTTTGGCTTTCATGCGGGGCGCTCAACGGTGGGCGCCATCCTAGAAGTAAGGAACTTCATGGAGGAGAGGGTGGTAAAGGGGGAGGCTGGCGTTCTAGTTTCGTTGGACGTCAGCAACGCGTTCAATGCGCTCCCTTGGCCTACTATTATGCGTGCGTTGCGGGCAAGGGGTTTGCTGTGGTCGCTGTATGGAATTCTGGGAAGCTATCTTTCTGGGCGTTGACTTGCATATACAGCGAAAGGGAGGGGCGTAGTGACGCGGGAGGTCTTGCGTGGGGTTTCAAAGGGGTTGGTTCTGGGGCCCCTGCTATGGAACGTTGCGTACGACGGTGTCCTCCGAGTTCCGCTTTCGTTAGGAAGAAGCATGGTATAATTAAAATAAGAAGTGAAACACTAAGTTAAACCAATACAACAAGGTATATTACTTTTGTTGCTTGTCAGGGAAAAGCCTTGTTGCATAAAAACACTGGTTGATAAATTAGATTTAATATGTATTGCGCCTAAGCAAAAATTCACCACATTGCACACCTCTCGCTCGCATTAAAGCTCTTTTTGATACATTAATAATAATAAGGAATTGCGTCTAATAGAAGAATTACCACGTGTCTCACTACTCGTTCGCTTCGCTTGTATATGAATTTCAGAACAAGGCTCACTACGTTTATGGAAGTATAAGGGATACTTATACTTTACTCAATTCGCTTCTAGCTAGTATCGCTTTGTTCGTCGATTTCTTTGTTAATTCTTCGCTGGTTTTCTAAAACGTGTCGTCAAAGGCGTAGTGGTAGAAAGAAGCAAGTGTCTTTGTTGATGGACATTTCTATATTCTTAATATTCTTACAGAGAAAGAATATTTTCACTATTATATTTTTAAAAAGATTGAGCCGTATTTTAAATATACACTAAGAATCTATAATCTTTACAAATGGTACATAAATCGTTATCACCTTTAGTGTTACACAAATTTAGAAGGAAATGCTTGTCAGACCATGCTTCCTATTTAGTATTAAATAAATGTAAAATTAATGAAAAGTAAATGTAAATAACTTTGCAATTTTATTTGCATTTGCATTTGCTGCTGAAGTTAAAAAGTTAAAAAAATATTTAATGAAAAAATAAAGAAGCAGCAATTGCTTTTGCTGTTGCAATTTGCAGTTGCAGTTGCAGTTACAGTTACAATTTCAGTAGCAGTTGCAGTTGCAGTAGCAGGTAAAAATTTAAAAAAGTACATAATAAAAAAAAATGCATTTGCAGTTGAAGTAGCAGTTTCAATTTTAGCTGCAATTCAAGTTGCAGTAGCAGTCAATAAGTTAAAAAAAATATAATAAAAAAAAATGCAGTTTCAGCTAAAATTGCGATTGCAGCGCAAGTTTCAGTTGTATAAGCTGATAAGAAGTTTAAATAATAAATAGTAGATAATATGCAGCAACATTTGCACTTGCAATTGCAGATACTATGTTAAAAAAAAAAAGATATTATCAAAAATCCAGTGGCATTTGCATTTGCAGTTGCAGTGGCAGTTGCAGTAGCAGTTCCAGTTTAAACTTTTAACAGTTATATAATTACAAAAAAATGCAGTTGCGTATGCATGTGCAGTTACAGTTGCAGTTGCAGTTACCGTTGCATTTGCCTTTAAAACTGCAGTTAAAAATATGAAAAAATATATAATTTTAAAAGATGGAGAAAGAAAAGTGCCCATAGACTCTAAACAGTTTTGATCCAAAGATCACAACGATCATTTTTTCAGAAAAAATCAAATTCTACACAAAAAGTAGACTAGACAAGTTGAAATTTACCGGTTTTTTATCATTTTAGGAGTGCTTTTACTGAACCATTATAGAAATCAGCAATTTTTTGCGTTTTGGAAATTAATGTTTGTGGGTATACGCTGTAAAGCGTTTACCTTAACTTTTAAAGACTTGGGTAAAAAGGGCATTCCATTAGAGATCCTAGAGTTTGCTACTCCGTACAAATCTGGAAAGTAGCTCAAATACTGTCTTATTTAAATATGGAAATTTTCTTAGACGGTAAAAAATGTGCTTTTAAAATTTAAACAGATTGAATCTCTGAATCAAAATGATCATTTATCTTTAAAAAAACATTTAAATCTACTAAAAATTTAAACCAAACTCTTAATAATTGAATGATTTTTTACCTTTTTTTGACGGGGGGCCGTGATCAGACACTTAACCCTTTGGAACTAGGAAGGTGACTTGATCACCGCATGATTTCAGGCCGATACTTGAGAGGTGACTCTCGCTCACCACTTTTATTGGGGCGGAAATTTGATCTTATCATTTCTAATCACTGCGTATGTTACCATCATTGTTGGAAATCCGTCATTACTATAATACCTTAGCATTGCCATTAATGCATAGCACCTTTTGATAAAGTCGGAAATGTATTCATATTTCTCACATTTTCTAGAAATTCTTTCCCGAATATTTCGTTCTGAACCCGCTTATTATCCAATACGATGAGGAACAAGTGATTTAGATTTTTTTTAGTTATCTTTTTGAATATCTGTCTAAACATAATATAATCTTCTACTACTATAAGTAACAGTGTGCTCTACATAATAACACACTAATATTGACTAATTTTCAATATAAACTGAAAATTTATACCTTTCTATAAAACGGAACGCATAGTATAGCGACATGTAAAGTTTCAACAACCCCGACTATGTTTGCTTTTGTGCGTTTTTGTGGGAGTGGGTTGTGGGTTGATTGTGGGCTGAGGTTACGTATGTCTGTGTGTACCTGCTGCCTGACAACGTATTCTTTTTAATATGACTTTAATAGTAATTTCTTGTTCTATAGGTTACTAAAGAATTATTTTCAATGGTTAGAAAAAGCTCAAATGCTTAGAAAAAAGATTTCCGGCTATGACGCTACCGTCATAGCATCAGTAACAATCTCTATTCAAATAACGTAAGATTTTCTTATTTGAATGTTCGGAATCTGTTTGAACTTGTCAGCCTTAGCAGAAGGAAAAAAAAAATAGAAGTTTCTGATCCGCATTTCCTTAGAACATAGTAATCGAGTGAAGATGAATTTTCTTTAGAGTTGGTAAACGAGGAAATTACAGCTATACATAGAGAGCTTGACAATAGAGAGAACACGAGCAGTGATGATGATAGTGATGAAGTAAGAGGTGTAAGAAGACGAAGGGTCAGAATAATAGATAGTGAATGTAACAGCGATAGTGATATTGCAGAAGACCCACGATGCGATGGTTCTGAATGGATTTGCGTGGATGAGTCTCTTATCAAATTCAAAGGTCGGATTTCCTTTATTACTTACAACCCGAAAATCAAACAAAATTAGGCATTAGAGTCTATACGATGGCAGACTCAAGTACCGGTTATATCTGTGGCATGCTTCCTTAATATGGAAGTCTTACCACGGAGAAATTGATAATATGACCTTCCGATATCAGCAAGAATACCGCTGCACCTTTATACGATGCTACTAGAAAAAGTGCCTGGTAATCAAGGATGCCATATGTTCACCGATCGGTATTACACCAGCTTTATCTTGACTAAAAAGTTGTTCAAATTGAAATGCCTTTTGACAGGAATAATCTTAACCAATAGGAAACTTTTGCCAAATCAAATAAAACTAACAGAATTCTTCAAGAAATCGACAGTAGCTTACCGCAAAGAAAATACCTTAGTATTATCATGGAAGAACAAGAGGGTTATTACGTGCTCGACCAATTGAAATGATGCAGGAATGACTCCTGTAAGTAGAATTTTACGAAGTGGTATTGAAGTTACCGTTAAAAAGCCTAATATTATAATAAATTATGTAAAACATATAGGTGGTGTCGATCGTGCAGATCAATTAGCCTCAACGTACTGTTTCTTAAGAAAATCCTTAAAGTGGTTGAGTAAACTGTTTTTTTTGGGGTCTAGAAATTTGCTCAATAAATTCGTATATACTTTATAAAATCAGAATCCAACAGAGAGGAGAACAGACATTTAACCGCTTGCGGTATGTAAAATCCTTAGTTCGGCAATTGACTCGAGATTTTTGTCAGACACGTGCTCGAGCTTCGACTTCAACCTTCGATTCCGAGGACATCCCTCTAAATGGAAATCTGCATAATATTTTAACAGGAGTAAGGAAGGACTGTAAAGTCGGCTCTAAAAGTAAAAACCCCGGTAAAAGACAACAAACGACATACTTTTGCGATACTTGTCCCGATAAGCTGGGCATGAATCTCGGATATTGTTACATGAAATATCACACAAAACTAAATTACAAGGACTAATGTTTAAGAAATTATCTTCGTAAAGTTGTAAAGATACAATAAATATAAAAATATAAAAGTTTTATGTGTTAATGTGCTTAATCATTTTATGTTAGACGAAAGATATTCACCAAAAGCGCTACAAAACGCTTTGAGTAGTTGAAGTGTCCGCGGGAAAACAGTCCTGAGTGCAAAGCGTAAATATTTATATTTACTGTTCGGAGTTACAATGCTCATCATTCTTAAACAAATGCAAGTAAGTAATATGGATTCATATGAATAAATATTTTAGTGCGTATCTTTTTCATACTTTGAGGTTAATTCCTGTCGCTGTTWATATAATATTTTTAATTTAAGACTATATTTAGAATAATTTTACGATTTTTACGCCAAATTGTCAAAATCTCAAGGATCACAAAACAGATTTCATCGACGTTATTTTACAAAATTGTACGTTACTTATGTTAGCAGAGACGTTGTTAGATAATGACAAACATGTGTCAATATCTGACTTTGATTGCTGTATACAATTTAAACGACCGGGTTACAGAGCAGCTGGTGTAGCGATCTTTCGCCAACAGAACAACTTACATGTTGTGACTCTTAATATAAACATTACTTTTTGTCAAACAAGTGGACTGGGTAATGTTCATCAAGATATTGGGGACATATGTACAGCCAAATGCTTATTTAGAAATGGACAAACAGTGATTTCAGTTGTCGTATACATTTCTCAGAATCAAACGGTTCAAAAAATTAAAGATTTCCTGCCTCTTGTATTTTAACAATATACCGAAGGTGGTTCTGCTCTTCTTAAAAAAATCTATCACTTGCTTCCCCTGATTCGGTTTGGTGACTTTAACGTAAACTTTTGTATGGCAGAAGCTGAGCATCTAATCATACCCGATTCATTCTTTTCGGGATTTAAGTTACCATTGCGTATTTACAAGGATAACATGTCAGATGTTACACATAATGTGCGACTACTGTAAAGATCGCTTCTCTGGTTTTTTTAAAACATCAAGTATTTAATAAAAAATGCGAGTAGTTCGCGAAGAGTATAATAATCTAAATGGTTTCAGTGATAGCAGTCCAGAAGCTTATGTTCCTAGAAAGCAAGGTTAACAAAAATTAAAAATTTTGACAAGAGAAATTAATGCATTTTAAAGAGACTATATTTTTAATAGGTTTGTGTTGCAGCTGTCTATAAGGGCTTATTCATTGTTAAGTTTTCAAAGAAATAGCAAAGATGTACACTATACAGCATCTCCAACATAGATATTTTATTCACTTTACAAGCGAAATTTATAAATTGAAAGAGTATTCTACGCGTAAAAAAAGAGTGAACTATTATTTAATATAAAAGTCAAATACAACTGCTGGCTATACGTTTGAAAATTATTAACGCGAACTATCCAAACAAACGACATTTATTGCTACTCTTCCGTGAAGGATGTCTGATTGGAAAGGTATTTAAACAAGAAACGACAAACTTGTTCTCTGAAATTTTTTTTGAACCTTTAAAGATCGATTTATTACTCGAAAAGAGTTTAATTTATTTTAATATAAAGGTCACATATATCTTTATACTTGGTAATAGCGAGAAAGAGTAGACGTATGGTGCAGGTGGTCCCGAAAAAAGAATAGAAATTTGGAGGACAAAAATTAAAGATTATTAAAAGTAAAGCTAAAGGTGAGTGGAGTGAAAAAGAGAAATAGCAGATTAGTATAGGAAAAGATTAGATAGATTAGAGAGTCGAGGAAGGAGGGAAAAGGAAAAGAGAGGTTAGGATTGCATCTGGAAAGAAGATAAGGAACCTCTTGGTTGGTAAGGAAGATTCGGGGAAGTGAGGGAAATATTAGAATATCAGGAAAAGCAAGTGAGACAGTAAGCACGAGGAGCTGTTAAGACATAAAATTGAAGGAGCAGTCAATTTTAAGCTATATGAAGGAAAGTTAAGGAAATGAAGAGTTAAGTGAGAAGATGAGTAGAATGGAGAAGAAGTTACAAAGTTTGAWTAATATACTAGAAAGAAGAGAAGAGAAGTGGAGAGAGGAGAAGCAGAGATGGGTAGAGGAAAGGCAGCAATAGATAAAGGAGAAGAAGGCATTTGAGGAGAGGATAAGCAGGTTTGAGTGGGAAAAGGAGAGAGTGGAAATAATGAAGAGAAAGAAAAACATTGTGATAAAGGGGGTAAACATAGAGAAAGAAAATCTAGAAACAAATGTAGAGGATTTAATTGAGAGAAAAATCAAGGTAAAAGCAAAAGTGGAGAAGGCAAAGGAGATAAAAGTTGAAAATTTTTAATAATAAGTGGTATTTTTTAATATAAAACCTTACAGCTTGAAAATAGCAGTACATTTTAATACAAAAAACTTGTTAAAAAGGGCATGTGTAGAAACATAAAATTTAATGACCGATTCACGATCAAGACTTTTATTGAAGTTATTTAATAAATTACAGAAAATTTTTTTTCGCCGACTGTATGCCTCATACCGTTACACGTTTGTTTGTAATGGATGTTTTCTTTTAGAAACATTTTTATAACGACAGTAAAAAGCATTACACTTCTCTGCATTAGATGTAGAAATGATAAGAACTGAAACAGAAATTAAAATGTATACTGAAACTTATCAAAAAGCTGGAAGAGTTTATTAAGAATTTTTGTAGAAAATAATTTAAAAATACCTAAGATTCCTTTATTTTTTAATTTTTTTGATAGAATAATAATGCACATGGTTTCTTTTCAGGGTTTTTTAAAAAGAAAACGGTGTTCTCCAAAATCTTTCATGATTTCAGTATCGTTGGCTTCTTCTTATCGTTGTTAAATATAATACGCTTGCTCTTTTAGTACAATGATTGGTCACCTATAAGGAGAGAATAAGTTTTCTAATTCTTTAAATAAATATTTTTCAAGAGAATTATTTTAATATCTGTTCCTTATAGAAGCCAGATTATTATTTTAAACTGTTAAAAGATTCATGTCTTTCTTATTCCTTGTAATTGTTTTTAATTCTATTCTCATAATAATCGACATAAAATCTTTACGAGTAAGACAGTAGTAGGAAAAAATTTTTATTTCGTAACCATTGGAAAATGAAATATATATGCCTTAATCCAATGCTGAAATTGAGTCTTTTTCTTGGGTGGGTTTCAATCTTTGATTGGAACAAAAATGTAGAGCTGCACATTTAGCTAAAACTATTTAAGAAAGTAGTTTATTTATGAAATATAAACATATAAAAATAGAAACAGAGCCCTATAAGTTGAATTAAAAAATAATATAATACATATTTTTAAATCGATAAAAGTATTTTAACTGAACTTAAAGCTATTCTACTTAATATTGTTTGTTATAATATTAGAATTTAGAGAACAATTGTAATTCATCGGTTTTCTTAGATCTAAGTCAAGAAGTTGCAATCATATAATTAAATTAAAGTAATGATCCCTTCACAGAAGAAATAAAACGAATTGAAACTAAAACATAATAATACATATGTTGCGACAGACGCCTTGATCGGTACTCCAATGGTTTATATCGTGAATCGAAAATGCCCTCACGTGTGAAATCGAGATTGTTTTTTAATAAAAAGAAGGATAGGGAAATAAATCAAAAATAAACCTAATATTTTTGAGCCCAGCCAGTACTAAAAAGTACGCTTTATTTTGCTCGTCAGGGAAAAGCCTTTTGGCATAAAAACCCTGGTTAAAATGTACGAAGAAGAATCCGTACAAACGCAGAACAATTCTGGCCACGTGTAGGACCGCCTTTGTCCTTTGTCGCTGGCCGAACTTAGATGATGTAACGTTGGTCAAGAGAATATTTCTTATCGAAGTAGTTCTCGCAGGTCTCGTAAAAGAATCAGCTTTCCAATCAAGGTCAGGATGATGAATGTCGAATGACAAATGATGAATGCTAAATGATGAGGGACGAGTGATGTTAAGCACTCGAACGCGCTTGGCTTTATAGAATGTTACGTCTCAAAGGGAATTGTACAGGAGCAATCACAAATTTAGAAAAGAGATTCGTGAAAAAAGAAATTTATTCTTAAATGAACTTGTTTAACGCAACTTAGTTATTAATGTGGAACTAAGTAATAATTGTTGAACTAATAACAAATATCTTAATTTTATCTTAGTATTAAATGACATCTTAGTAGAAAACTTATAATTAGTAACAAATGAAGAAAACTTAAAATGAGTAACAAATGAAGAAAAATTATAATTAGTAACAAATGAAGAAAACTTACAATTAGTAATTAATGAAGAAATCTTAGTATCAAGTGTTGAACTACAATTACTAGCAAAAGTCAGAGACTTAGTATCTAATGCGAACTATTCAAATTGTGTGTGATATACTCAAATTTATGCGAACACTGAACAATCGAATTTAAGCGGTAGCCTATATGTAGGGAAAATCGCAATCCCACCACGTAGAGTCCCATTCGCAATAGTGGGAGTACCTCCCACTTACGTAATATGCTTTCTTAACCACAATTTTCTCTCTCGCGAAACGCAACCCTTGGAGAAGAATGTTCCGGCGATTATTATTTTCGGAGGAAATAGATATTATATGAAGAGAAAATTTTGGCGTACAAAAATATAACAACAATATTGAATAAATTCGAAATTTGAGCGTTCTCGACTTTCAATACAACTATTATAATATATTACCATACATATACAATACAACCATTATAATATATTAACATACATTATATATATATATGTAGGATTCCTTTCTCTTCTCATCAGTCTTTCTATGAATATCTGAATATTGAAGATCAGGAATACTGGTGTTAATAATAATAAATGGTTCTTAAAGATGAATAGACTGATTCCATGTAAATACAATTTAATCTGATACAATTCAATACAGTAATAGATGTTCGCTGCTTAAAGGCTAAACGATGACTAGTCTTAGATCTTTGTTCTTTATCATTATTTCTCGCATCGCAACGTACCGCTGCACGTCGCTACCTACTCACTATATCGTATTATATTTCGTAGCACCTTT